AAACTCTTAATCACTTTTTTAATCACTATTTTGTAGTTAAATAGTGATTAACTCTCAAATACGCGCTTTTTATTGGATGACGTTTCCACTAACTATAGTTAACTTTAATCACTTTTTTATACAATCGGCCCCGGATAGCGATATTTTCAAGCTTCCTGAATTTCTCCGTTGAATGGTATATAAGTCTTTAATCAGGGTTATACGGTATAATCCTGATTAAACTGTAGCATTTATAATTTAAACTTTCTTTTATTAATTGTAACGTCCATATCCGTAATATTATAGCTTTTTAAGCATTTTTAAAACGGTTGAAAAAATCACTATCAGTGACTCAAATTTATGAGCAAATTTACTCAATGTTTTAAGTAAAGATTTACTTTACTAAAAAAGTGAGTAAATTTGAGTAATTTTATTCAATTTCTTGAGTCGTTGTGTGTGCATTATCTTACTAACGTTTTTCAGTCAAACATTTTTGCAGTGTACATAATGAAATTTTCTACTAACAAGATGAACACAACACATGTTGTTTTTATAATTAGGAAGAATGGTGTACGGTATATCTACTATACTCAAATGTTCCTGCTTGCCCTGGCCATGGTCCTGTTAACATTGTTTATGGTTTGGGTGCGACAACTGATTGGACAATGCTACATGTATCTTCTTCGTGTTCAACAGAACCCTAATGGCACTATATTAAATCTACCTGACGGTTTTCTATATAATGAAACATTTTGTACGGACAAGGTACGGAATGAATGAACCTTAGACTTGTAGAATTCGTGTAACATTCACGAGCCAACGTTTCCTCACGGCTCTATAAATACACGTGTGGAAATCTCGCAGCTTATCCGCGACAAGATGTGTTCGCACTGCTTGTTCCCAGTTCTTGACAAGTCTGGAACAAGGTTGATTATGCCAACAGACTCGTAACAAGTTGTTCCAACAAGTCTGATATCGTCTGCACGTAACAAGTTGCAGAGACCTTGCAAGACCTTGCTAACAAGTTTATGACATCAAGCTCATGACAACTTGTTACGAACAGCTTGTATTATTCTTGTTGGAACAATTTGTAGCACGTTCGTTATCGTCGCCAACCTTGTTACATGCAAGGTGACAATAACTTGTAACTTGTTCCACACTTGTCACAACAACTGGGGACAAACAATGTGAACATATCCTGGTATCGGCTTGACAACAACCTTGTTACAACTAAGCTTGTTTGGTGTGGATCAAAGTTGATCTAAAGTCGTTCCTTATATTTTGCATACACTCCAGTATAGGGTGGGTGGTTTTAAAAAAAAAAACGAAACCGACGTAAGAAAACAATAACTGACCTATTTTCTGTCCGCGTCATCTTGACAACATTTGAAACCCCGTTTCACTGCGTTATCACTGTCATTTCGGGGCGGTCACCCCACATAAGAGATCCGACCGTCTGTAAATTAATCTGCGCGTAAATCTACAAATTTTCATGCAGATAGCCAGGTTCATAACGTTTGTTTATATAACTAGTATAATTTCTCTACTTATAGATCAAGTATGATCAAAATAATAAAAATGTTATGTTTTTTACCCGTTTCTCCTTCTTTGTCTACTTTCTGGGATGTCTGCTCAAAGAACTTAACCAACTTCGGCAAGAGGTAACTTATACCGATACCTTTTCTATCAGTCCACTTGATTTCGAAGAAAACATGCACTGTTTGGTAGTGTAAGAAATTCCCTCACAAGTGAAGTTATAATCAAACATATAGTAGGCCGGTTTTTGTAGATTGAAATTGCAAACGTAAATTTCTATACAATTTTTAGACCTATAACCAGGTGTAGTTGTGAAAAATGCAATTACAGGCAGGGTTTATTTTAAGAAAAATTTAGAACTGCACATATTATAGGGATGTTATGAAGCATCACGTGTTTGACTGGGGGTCAAAGGATTTTTATCTATATTTAATGTTGTAAATTATTGTTAACGTTGTAAACTATGATAGACACTTAATTTGTATATAGGTGGCAGAATAAATGTGTGGTTGGGTGGGGCCAGACAAATTCGATTCTGGGTTGGGAGCTACAGGTAGGGGGTGTCTCCCCAAATTTTGAATTTAGAGGCTCGTAAGTTCTGGCAAAGATTTGTTTCACACACCCAATCTTGTTATTCAATAGCTAAAAGCCTGAATATGAAAACAATTTGTTCATACGCCGAGTAAGTCGCGTACAATAGTGTGCTGAAATTCGATTACCTTTTTTTTATACACCCTGTATATACGTATACGTGAATCTGGGGCGGTTCATTCTCAGCAACTGGGCTCTGTAGCTCAGTTGGTTAGAGCTCTGTACCGGAATCGCAGGATTGATTCTTGCCAGAGCCAGAGGGACTAGCTAAAATTGCATTTTCTGCAACTGCTTCTGGTTAGATCTAAAAGTGTATAGAAATTTACGTTTGAAAATTCTATCTACACAATTCACAAACCCCAACAAAATCTCACTATTGGTTCTATCGAACGAGATCCCCCAAATCTCGATGCTTAAATGGATGATTGCAGCTACAGACTAAATTTTGATCAAGGCAAGAAGAACGAAATCCAACACCATAGCTGAAAAGAGCGTCTTAAAATGAGTAAAATTGCAAAGTTTGGTTGCGAATTGTTGTAAAATGAGGAAAATATACCCCTGTGCCGTTCGCAAATTTTGTATATATTTGCATTACGCGCGGGAAAAATAACCATTTTTTGAGCCGAAAGTGGTTATTTTTACCGCGCTTAATACAAATCTATACAAAATTTGCGAACTTCACAGGGGTATGTTTTCTTCATTTTACAACATTTAGCGACCAATCTTTGCAGTTTTACTCATTCTAAGACACTCTTTAGAAAGCTGTGGTGTTGGATTTCGTTCTTCCGGCTTGATCAAAATTTAGTCTGTATAGCTGGAATCACCCATTAGACAACTGCATGTGTATTGCACGATTCGATTTGCAGGTTTGATGGCTCACATCTACGTGGATTTTTAGAAAACGTTTGTTGCTTAATTTAATTCCATATACATATGCTTTAACATATTGTTTCTTTCATAGCGTTCAGAATATTTTCGTGAGATTACAAACTACTTGGATTTGACTGTGTCTATATTGTTCCTCTTATTTCTCGATCTACCAAGCATTCATCCCATTCCATATGATCGTCTGAAACTTGGAACTGTTGGACTCTTTGCGTATTATTTCTTAATGTTCTTATGGACGAGAGGGTAAGGTTATGATAAAACTTATGTTTACAGTGGGTGGTGCATACGATATGATCGATCTGCCATTCCGAGTGTTGAGATCGAAAAGTTTCACGAGCTGGATTTCTACCTGCAAAAAAAATTCGCGACCCACCTTTACTCCTTTTTGGTCAAGTCCATTAATTCCACCACTCACCAGGGAGCGGTTGTATAAAAAAGTGATTAAAGTTAACTATGATTAAGTGCAAACGTCATCCAATAAATAAGAAGCGCCTATTTGAGAGTTAATCACTATTTAACTACAAAATAGTGATTAAAAAAGTGATTAAGAGTTTTATACAACCGGCCCCAGGGCGGCCCCCTAATAAACAACAAGCTAGATTGATGTGTTTCTTTTCAGGCTATCTCGATTTGGTATATACATCACAATGTTTCTTGAAGTCATGTCGACACTTCTCCAGGTACAGTCTAGGCGATCTAGCTTGCTGTTTTCAATGTGCTCCATAAAGCCTCTCTTTGTTTTCTAAATAGTGATAAATTCTTTTCTAGGTCGTCTCTGGATTTGCGTTGCTATTTATTTCTTTCACGGTGTCTTTTTACATTATATTTACGGAATCGGTAAGTTCAGTTTACGGCAGTATAGAGTCCGTATCCGTGCAGACGAGCAAGATTTCCTTGAAAAGTTTCCTTGACAAGTTTACTTCCTCCCAACAAGTATTCCTGCACAAGTTTCCCTCGACAAGTTTTGTTTCTCGAAAACACGGAATGTTGTTAAAATTTTCTTATACACTTGTCAAGTTTTCAATTCCTTGGAACAAGAACAAATTTTCCTTGTCCAATGACCTTTGGAACAAGGCTCCTTGTCTGTACATCTTTCCCTAAGGGGCAAAACTTAAGGGAGGTATGGGGGATGTGACACCCCCCAAAAAATGCGAATCAACTGGATTGGCAGGGCAATCAAAGATTTTAAATGATAAAATGTAGAGTTATTAAGTAACTTACAAAGTTACAGGGCTTTCAGAGGCAATTGAATAGAATTTATAGACCTAAATTTTACAGATATTGGTCCAGAAATAAGGGTTTCGCCCATGTCCGGAAAAATTTTTCGACAACATTTTTGGGAAAAATGGTGGCCAGAAATAAAAATTTGCTGCAGGGCATCATCGGTTTTGGCAGGACAATTCTGGCAGACACCCCCCTCCCAATTAAAAGGGGTCAGTTTCGCCCCTGCAGCTAAGGAGAATGGTGAAATACAGTAAAGGAACCTTGATCCTGTGGTAGTAGTGATAGTGCCGTGTTCATACGTTTTTAGACCAAACCTGGAAGAGCTACAAAAAATGCAACTATACGCCTTGTGGCAGAAATTGCAAGGCCGCAGATTCCTTGCGCAGATTCGATAGAAGCTGCATAGATAGAATTTTTTTATGCAGGCTGACGCAAACAAGTTACTTTGAAATCGCTTCTAACTTAATTCTCTTGGACTAACATAAAACCGTTTTACATGTTAACACTGCATTATGTAAAACGATGGGTTGCAAAGTGCAAAGAAGGTTGCAATCGCCAATTCTCAAAACTAGCTGAGTATTTTTCCGTTTAGGAAGAGAAAGAATTCAATACCATTATCAATTCATTTCTCAAAGTCCTCGCAATGGTGATGGGTGAACTAGATTACACAGGCTTACGTTATCATGCCAGTAAACTGCCAGACGATATGGAAGTGATCGCCATTGCTGTCTTTGTTGTATTTTGTCTTACCATGGCACTGGTCGTCAACAATTTACTGGTATATGTTTGACAAAATAGTTCAGAGATGCATTTACTGATGTGTGTGTGTCCTTACCCAGTTACCCTGTGTGTGTCCTCCTTATACTTTAATCCTTACCCTGACTCAGACAAAACAGAAAGCCATAAAACTCTAACCCGTCTTCGTTTTTCGAATTCTACCTTCGTTCAGAACGAATATTTTGGCGAAATTCGTCGTCCGGCGTCCTGAACGTCGTTCTGAACTAAGGTTTCTGAACAAAAACAGGGCAGAGCTTTATGTTTCGCTGTTTTTGTCTGGGTCAGGGTAGAGAGCTTAGTAGCCGAAAGGGAGGCCATAATAATTTTCTTCCTTCAAAAGGCAGGTTTAGTGCGAGAAGTGGGGGGTGGGTGGTGGTAATTGAGGGGGTGGAGACATTTATGGTAATAAGGTATTTATAGTAACAAGTATATAATATTATGTTCAATTTAGATTGGTTTGGCTGTCGGTGATATTGAAGCTGTTCAGAAAACGGCTGAAATTAAACTTCTATCTCTGCAGGTTATAACTATTCAATGTTACAAAGTACGCCACAGCATAATTTTTCTGTGGCCGAAGCAAAATTATCTGACAGTGTTTCCCAGTAATGTTTTTCGACCGAATGTATGAAGGCAACAGGGTTTCCTATTTAATCAAGACTTAAATTATGTTAAATAAAACGCAGATGCGGATGGACGGATGGGTGGCGGAAGGACGGTTGACGGACGGAAGGCTAATGTTGTCATGAAACATTTAAAAGTCGTATCCTTTTTTTTTTTAATCATTATTTAATCACGGAATCTCATCATCAACCATAAAAATACAGATGCTCTTCCTGGGAGCCGTGGGTTTAAAATACAAGTTACTAATTATACAAAACAAGATACAAAACAAGATACTAATTATATATTAAACTATGTACAAATAAATATAGAAACTACTAGAAATCTAAAATTGATTTTTAAATTGTGCAATTGTAGAAGCATTACGTTGGCCATTTGTCAAATTATTCCAACGCAGTGCCCCTCTGTAGGAAATGCTACGTTTCATAGCTTCAGAATTAGGTCTAGGTATAAACAGACCGTTTTGGGTGCGACGTAAACCATAAGTATGTACGTCAGCAGTTTTAGTAAACATACTTGACATATATGCTGGAGCGTGGCCATTCATAGTTTTATCCTGTTGATAAACGAGGATATGGTTTTAGAAAACGCTTTTCATGCTTTTAAAAGGAAAATCCATGTTTTATCTAAAAAGATGAAACGCGACACGTCCGTTCGTCCTCATCTACGTTTAATCCTAACGATAATATGTTTTTGCGAGCCATGGTTAATTGGGTTATTTTCCTTTCTGCGCGAAATGGACTTTTTACTTTGAAATGACCTTGTATGTTGCTTTTAGGTGACCCAAATACTCGACGCCAGAGCGAACATGATATTTGGCAGGGTACGCCAGAAATGTTACGTCCCATCATGCACTGAAATGCCAAACAGAAATGATTGCAAAGCTGAAATACGTGAACAAGCATATGTAAGAATATAAAATTAACTTTATTTACACATTGGATATCTCTATGTCAGTTTTGAATTGGTCTGCATAGGGGAATTGAATCTTCTATTGGTGCAGTTGGTTGGTACAGGAGGAAACCTGAATTAAACACTGTCTGGCCAGTCTGGGAGTGGGAGATGCAGCCTCCTTAGCCCCCCCCTCCCCTCGTACAGCTGTGTATATGGTAGTAGACAAACGAATTAGGTATGGTAATCTACAACTCAAACTTCTTTTCATTTGTAGAAACTGCGAAATCTGGAAAAGTTGAAAAAGGAGAAGAATCCTGGCATTACTAATTTTGCATCAGCATAACAGAAATAAAAATACGATGCATGAAAAACGATGTATATATAAAATGGCGTATTTTACTGGTTATAAGGTGTGCGTGCCCAGAATCTATTTTAGCATTTCAATCCAAATTTTTTTCCAAATACACAACATTGGATAATTTACATGCCTAGTTTATAGTGTAGTTACTGTCATGTTCCAGTTTGAAGAACAAGAAGCATTTCAGAGAAGCGGATAGTCACTCGGTTCTATTTCATTTCTATCCGGCATGAGTATAAACAAACGTTACTGATTTTGGCTCATGCAAACACTGGTAGCGGGCTTGCAAGTTGGTTTTGGGATGAGTGGGAAATTGTGGAAAAGAGCTTTAACTCTAAAAATGATTGATAGGATCAAAGCAATCAGATGAATATAGACTTGGATCAAGTCCGTCCCTCAAGGGCCTCAAGAGTCCGAGGGATCGAGGTGCAATAACGCGGGAAAGTCGATCTCGTCGCCTCGCGACTTGGACTCCAGAGAGACGGACCAACTTGATCCAAGTCTATCAGTTGAACAGACCTCATTGTTTAAATAATAGTGTGTGATGTAATTCTTATGAACATTGAATAAAAGGAGGAAAATGGGGATTTTAAATCGTGGAGTCGTTTTCAATTTTATACGGCGCTGGTGTGTTATTGGGCAGCTTAAAAGCCACAATCATCGTTAACACGACTGATTGAGAGTTCCATACGAAATTTGCATATCCTTATGATAAATTACCAGTAAAATCATATGTTGCGCTTTTAAACCACACACTCCAACAACTCAATGTTGAGTTTGTGCAATGGTAAATTATCAACTGTTGTGGCGCTGTTTGCGTACAATCAGAGCTGGATTAACGTTCCGCGGGGCCCATGGCATATTATCAGCTTGGGGGCGCTTATCTTCCCAACAACATTTTAAAACCGAATTCACATTCAAACACATTCAAGTATTATGCCGTTGACTGTCTTCGGCATAACCATTCAACTTGGATGATTATGCCGTTGACTGTCTCCTGCATAACCATTCAACTTGGATGGTTATGCCGTTGACTGTCTTCGGCATAACCATTCAACTTGGATGATTATGCCGTTGACTGTCTCCTGCATAACCATTCAACTTGGATGGTTATGCCGTTGACTGTCTTCGGCATAACCATTCAACTTGGATGATTATGCCGTTGACTGTCTCCTGCATAACCATTCAACTTGGATGGTTATGCCGTTGACTGTCTTCGGCATAACCATTCAACTTGGATGATTATGCCGTTGACTGTCTCCTGCATAACCATTCAACTTGGATGGTTATGCCGTTGACTGTCTTCGGCATAACCATTCAACTTGGATGATTATGCCGTTGACTGTCTCCTGCATAATCATTCAACTTGGATGGTTATGCCGTTGACTTCTTCGGTTTCGGCATAAGCATTCAACTTGGATGATTATGCTGTTGACTGTCTTCAGCATAACCATTCAACTTGGATGATTATGCCGTTGACTGTCTTCGGCATTACCATTCAACTTGGATGGTTACGCCGTCGACTGTCTTCGGCATAAGCATTCAACTTGGATGGTTATGCCGTTGACTGTCTTCGGCATAACCATTCAATTCATTCTGCTTGCGCAGGTGTGCTAGGAACGTTTCCACTGATAAATCAATATTTATAGGCGACTATTCAAATACATTTCTCATCTAAACTCACAACCTGAAGAAGCACTTGCCAAACAAGCTTTTTTTATCTCGAAACTCCGAAAGACTTATACTCCAAAAGAATTGCCTCGTTCTATGGAAATATTATGGATGATTTTCAAAATCCTATCACTGCCACACACAAATAAGTTAAATAACAGACCTGGAATCAATCACGATTCAAACACTAAGCTTTTGGAAACACAAACTCGAAACTCCTCCAACCTAAAGTTTTACAACACGTTCAAAACAGAATACCAGCTGGAAAAATATCTTTCAACAATAAAAAATTCAACCGAAAGGAAAACACTCATAAAATTTCGAGTGAGCAACCACAAATTAATGATTGAGTTAGGTCGCTATAAAAATATACGAAGGGAAGAACGACTGTGTGAAATCTGCCAGTCAGGGGGAGTGGAAGATGAACACCACTTTGTCTTTGCCAACTTGTGTGAAGCCTACAGCAACCAAAGAGAGCCGGATTTTTACACCACTCTCATGAAACAAGTTAACCATTATCACAGATCTGTCAGTAAAATACCAGGGACGCCGGAACTGGGTGTGTGGGGGGGGGGGCAGGAGGGGCAGCCGCCCCCGTCGCCCTTTACCAGGAGGGGCAAGGGCAAGGGGGGCAAAGGTGCCCAATTTAAAGGATTGCCTTGGCGAAATAGCGATTGTCAGAAATGTTAGTGCAATTATTTTACGAATATGCTTCAGAAACCGCAAGAAATGCAGTCATCGAGCTTCAAGAATAGCACAATCGCCTGGCGGAGAACCCCCTCACACCCCTATCATCCGATAAATAGAAAACATGATTAGGAAAAGTTCAACTCCCGATGTTTTGCAAACATCTCTTAGTATATATCAATTCAAAAGTGCCCTTTCACGAAAATCTGCCCCCCTTGCCTTCACATCGTTCCGGCGTCCCTGGTAAAATCGTGAGGACAGGAAACAAATCTAATTCGTGAGATCAACGAAATTTTTGTGTTCATTGATTGCGTGGAAACCAGTGGTGGAAACACGAAGGCTTTGCCCGCGCACGCATGCTCAGTGCAGGCATTGCAAATGGCGTTCAGGGACCCCCTGCGAAGGAAGATGACGGCCGACTCGGTCATGAAAATCATCTTTTCACTCAAACATCGTTCCGCCATATTATTACAGACAGTTGTGCTTGGCTCGTATTGCAGCACAAAAGCGCCTTTTAAGGAGCAATGGCTTAGGTGGTGGTCGAAACCAATTAGGTATGTATATTCTACATTCAACTTCGACTCCTTCGAACCTTATTTCATCTCATCGAACGCTTTTTGGCGAAAGATTCTCACACAAAAGGAAGCTTTTGCTCTGAGATCTGGTGAACACGCTTTGCTGTTGAGAAACCGAAAGTTAGATCTGAGCATTTCGGTAAAACTATGCGATTCTTAGATAATTTGTGTTGACGAAAGAGGTTTGGAAGGGGCACGTTCTAACTCTCAGTAGCATAGTAATTCATTATTCTAGTAAAAACAGAGAAACCGCGTATGAAAGATTTCAGCCTATTTCAGACTTGTAGTTTGCACTGAGATAGGCAAGGATATTTGCATATAATAATGTAAAGGCTTACATGTGATCACTAAGTAAGCAAACATATGTTGTCTTTAGTCTCCCACTGTTGGAAAAAGGGGGATAAGGCAAAATGATGGTACTTCAGTTTATGAGAATTTTCCACTTTACCATACCCGAGTAATCACGGACCACATATGCCATCAAGGATATGCCTCATGAAATGCTAAATTATTATTACATGCTAGAGAAAACATCGTCATGAGCAATAACCTGGTATGGTACAGTAAGAGCCAGTGAGGAAAGTTTGTATTTGTGCAACTGAGATATTGCATTTTTGATGCTTTCTGCATATTTATTATAAAATGTTTAAAATCTCTGGTGACTGCAATTACCAAACTTTCCATTCAGGGGTAAGAGTCCATGTCAACATTCATATTGGTATGCATAATGTTGAATCAATGCTTCTGCTTGAAGTTTTCTTACTCTCGATTTCAATTTACTTTTCAAAACTGACTTCCAATGTTTACTTGTAAATTCGGAATGTGCGTTGTAAAGTTCCGAAGTTTGTTTCGAAGTTCGTTACGATGATTTACGATGATTCAATAGCAAGCGATTTGATTGGCTGGTTCACTTAACTAGCCAATTACAACTTACTAAACTTGATTATCGTAAATCATCGTAACGAACTTCGAAACAAACTTCGGAACTTTACAACGAACATTTCGAATTTACAAGTAAACATTGGAAGTCAGTTTTGAAAAGCAAATTGAAATGGAGAGTAATGTTGTCTGGCAAGTCAATCTAGTCCAAAGGGTCTTATTCAGCTCTTCAGGTATCCGTTTGAAGTCCTGGTTCGAATTACACACTGCCTCTGGCGAATGGCTATCTAATGGGCCCACAATAGTTGGTGTAAACTGTTGTGGTGTCCTGCCTCTTGTTATGTTTCATGTATATGAATTGTTGTACGTTTTTTGTCAAGGCGAAGCTAAATATATAAATAAATAATGTTTTCGTAGCACTGGCAAAATTTGCTGTTTGCTGGCCTAAAACAAGATGGGTGGTCATATTATGTGTAATCTTGAACTGTCTGTGGCAGTGTAGGTAGTGGCAATAATATAAACAAGTGTTCGTTTGTAGGGATGCAACTACCTGAAAAATATAAGGAGAATTTCGATGTTTCCAGTGAAGGCCCTTCATCTGTAGTTAGTAGCGGAGTTAATATTTCAAGTTAACTCATTTACCCTAATAGACACTTCCTAAATTTAGTGGCTGCCAAAGAAAACTACTTATTTGCAATTGATTACTTTGGCCAAATTGATTTCAAGCTATTGTTTTGTGTGCCCTTAAGCAAATTTGGGAAGTGTGTCTATAGTGCCTTTAGGGTGGGTATGAATATTGCTTGTCTGATTATCAAAACTGTAATATCGCCACTTGAAATGTTGCATTCACAATGTTGTTATCATTTTCTACCTGTCATGCTACTGTCTCAACTTAGACAGAGCTTTTTCAATTGACATTATTTCATTTTTTCTATGTCCTCATGTCAATGCAATGTTACCTGTAAGAATCAACCTGAACAGAGCTTCCCGAATGTGCCCTGCCGCACCCTACTTTGTTATTTTGTTTAACTTGACAACCTCTCTAATTTTCAAAGGCCAACAAATAAACAAAGATGGAGCTGTCGTCAGTGGGTCAGGAGTTCACTCCTGCAGCACCTCTACATATCCAACGTCTTAATAAGGCATTACAGTTGGATGTTTTGCTCAGAGAGGCAGAGAAAGTTTTCACTGAAGATTTGAGGTATTAACATGTACACTTTCATTTTATGTGCATGCTAAATAGGTATTTAATCAGCCAGGTTTAAGCAGCCTTTTTCTGAGGCTGTCTAGCCTTTTTTTAGAAATGGCCAGGAAAATGTTGTACTTAACTCATTAATTAATCAGCATTGTATCCTGATGCACCCTACTTCATTCTTTTACTGCCAGATAATTTTGCTCATCAAGGGACAGCATTGGTGGTCAGTGGTCTAATCAGTGTCTATAACATAAATTTACCTGCAGATATGATCAAATGCACTTCACAGTATTATACACACAACCAATTACTTAGCCAGCCTATAGACTAATATTATCTTTACAACAATTGTGGTATTACTTTGAATTCTTAACTATGTTTATTCTCACCCACTCTGTCAACTTTCCTTGTGGGAGGAAACCAGAGGAAACCCACAAGTTCAGGCAGAGTGTTGATGGACTCTTTTCATATGAGTCCATCTATAGTGAGAATCAAACCCACAATCACAGAATACTACACAGAAGTCTGTCTCCATTGTTTTTTGCGTAAGCGTTATTCGTCATGATTCGTCACTCAGCAAGTACCGTAAACAGAAGCAGTCACCCCCCTGGACGTGTGCTATTTTTAGTATTTCCAGGGGGGGGACTGCTTCTGTTTACGGCACTTGCTGAGTGACGAATCATGACGAATAGCGCTTACACTAAAAACAATAGAGATGGACTTCTGTGTAGTATTCTATGCCACAATCTTAGAGGTGAAAGGTGCTTGTTATTGTATAGTGGTACAGATGAGAGTGAATTGAGTGACCTTGACAGAGAATTTGGTGTCAACATTACTCCAGCATATAAACATTGGCCAATAGGAAATGAAGATGGTCTTGAAGGTACTGTAGTACTGTATATATTGTAAATTTTATCCAGTAGCACAATGCTGGGAATTAGCAACGGCATTCGGGAACACCATCGCAAAATTTAGTGCTGTACTTAAAATTTGCATCATTGTAATTTTTATATGAGTAGGAACGAAATAGTTTTTTTCTGAATACTGCCATGATCACCTAATTCCCAGTGCTGGTAGTGTGTAATGTGCAATTGTGTGACATTAATACCTTGGAAAATTAAACATTAATAATAATTTGACCTGTTGGTACATTTTAGAAAGTTCCTGGGATAAGTCAAACCTTTACAATTTTTCCAAAATCAAAAAGAACCGGGAGTGGTTGAAGGTACAGTGTCCTTTATGAAAGACTTCAGGAACTATTCTAAATAAAAAAATCCACATTTAATAAGACCATCCAATGCTGACACCATTTATGATGGGGTCTGCTATACCTCTTTACAACATATTCTTGTAAAATTATTCAATGTTTTCATCAGTTCCAAATAATCGTAGAAACTGTTTTATAATTATTGCTATAAATTGATCAAGGCAAAGGTAACATTGATCGGTAAGCCTAGATTGTCATTAGTACTAAATGGCTACTGAAATACAGTATATCAAATATTCTTGTACAGGAAATTCTGTTAAGTGAGAGTTCAGAGAGCTCGGATGAAGAACATGACCCAGTTACGGAAGACGATTTCAAGGAAATGCTTCAACTGCATAAAGAACAAAAACTTTGTCGAAGAAAATACATGCTTGACAAAAATGTAAGATATTAAATTTGTTGGTTATGTAAGAATGTAAGATATTAAGTTTGGTTTTTTTTCAGGGATTTTTTAGGACCGTAAAACGGCCCTAAAAACTCAATCTTGAATTGAGTTTTGAAACTCAATCTTCTCACCAAAAGATTCAGTGCAGTAAAAATGAAGTTGTTTGAGTTAAATTTGTGACGTGTGGAAGTTAGTTTCAGTTGGAAACTCGACAATCAGGAAAAAATGGCTGGAATTCATTTCACAACACAAGAAAAACAACGCATTCGCCATCTTTAACCAGTTTATAGTGTCTGCTTTAACACATTGCGTCTCAACTACACTTATTGGGTACAGGAATCAGCCTCCCACAGCTGCTCCAGACCCCCAGCTGTTCAGCTAAACTCAATCTTCTCTGCAAAAACGGACCCAAGAGAAAATCCTGAAGAAAAAGACCCTGACATAGTTGATCAATAAAGCATGGCAAAAAAGTTTTGAATTTGGAGTCACAGTAGCTCCTTATCCTATGGAGTAGCTTCACTCCATGGCTCCCTACCCTTTGCGGTCATGTGGACTTTTATCCCAGTAACAAGACGACAACATGGCGCTGATTTCCTTGGTGTTTATTTACAAATTAATTCTAAAAATGAAAAGATTAGTAATGATCAAACTTAAACAGACACTATCGAAGTTGTAAAATACCCACTGCAGTATTTTGAGTCAAAATGATAGATCATTTTGCATGGCACCACAGATTATGTTTTTACACAATTTTGAACAAGCAGTAATCAATCACTACTGTGTTAAAAAATTAACTAATACATGTTTTGTAGCTTGATCGATACAAGCATTACAGCATTGGTTTACTGTCTGGTCAGGATAAGTTCCATGAAATCCAAAGACCTCGTGTTCCAAAGAAACTGAAAGAGAAGGCTGATACAGCAGGTAGTTATAATTAATGGGCTAACAAGACACATTGGCAGATTTTAGTAGATAGTTACTTAATTAATGGGCTACTTTGGCGAATACATTATGACCGCATTCTTTTCAATTACATGTAATTTAAAGAAAAGGGCAAAGTGAAAAAGGAAAAATTAAAAGGCAAGAAGAAAAAGAAAGGAACAGATGAGGTGGGAACTAAATTTTTTGCATGACCAGTGTAAAATGTTGAGTTGGTATGTGCTAGGTATGTCCCTTCAAAAAGTTTTGTTTAGGCAGAGTAACATAAATAGAATGCACTGTGTCAGCCTGCTGTCTAATGTTTTATAAAAAGAAATGTTGGCCAAGAATTTGGTTAATTTATTGATAAGTAAGACCTGTTTACACTTGCAATTTTTGCTGTGATTTCTAGTGCGATTTTCTTCTGACCGATGTGAACGAGTAAATAAGTTATGAATGTTTCTTACATGTATCCTCATGTGAACACTCATCTACTCATTCACATACACAGGGTTCAAAATAAAAATTTCAAATTTTGAAATTTTTGTAGGCTTTTTTGTATATGTACATTTTTACCGGCTGTTTTCATCATCTTTGACAACGAGAGTGTTAGCGTGCGCCGTTAGACACGAGGGTTACCAGGAAAGCCTTGAAATTTGGGCAAGTTACAAAATGCCAAATATTAGCTTTACTACATATACAGTTAAATGCACTTACAGTGTATAAACAAGTGATCAGTTTAATCTACTAGTTATGAAGTTTTCTTCAATCATACAAATTCTCACAGGAACTAGTGACTGTCTATATAAGTGGCAAGTACAGTACGTAGTTGTGCCAGTCAGATTCCGCTTCAGATGAGCCTCTCATACCACAATCAAAGGGAACATCTTCAACACTATATATTGTCTCTTGTTCTGAATCAATAACTGAAATGTGAAAAAACATCGCCTTTCCCGTTTAAAAATCGCCGGTAGGTGTCCTGAAAATGCCGGCTGCAGCCGGCCGCTATTTTGAACCCTGCATACATCAGGAGACGAAAATTGCACCTAAAATCTCAGCAAAAATTACAACTGTAAACAGGGCTTAATTAACTACTTGACTGGTAAAATTCATAGGAATATATTTATTGTCACACAATCCGACAAAATGTATTCAAAACAGCTCTGCTGACATTTTGTATAGTATCATTCTACTTAAACTTATTGTCCTAAAAATTTAGAGCAGACCCAATACAAATTATTTGCCACAATAAATTCAAATCAAAACATTGTCTCATAGGAAGGTGTGAAGAAAACTGCTGATGAAAAGACTGGGAAGAAGCGACAATCTCGGGCAAAAGATGCTGATGTCAGACGACGCAAGATTTGGGCGTATATATCACGCAAAGAAATACCAAGGGTGAGAATATTTACTAATTTATACAGGGTAGCTGTTAATATTAAATTAATGGGTGATTCCAGCTCTAGACTAAATTTTGATCAAGGCAAGAAGAACGAAATCCAACACCACAGCTAGAAAGAGCGTCTTAGAATGAGGAAAACTGCAAAGATTGGTTGCTAAATGTTGTAAAATGAAGAAAATATAGCCCTGTGAAGTTAGCAAATTGTGTATATATTTGTATTACGCACAGTAAAAATAACCACTTTCGGCTCAAAAATGGTTATTTTTCACGCTCGTAATGCGAATATATACAAAATTTGCGAACTTCAGGGCTATATTTTCCTCATTTTACAACAATTTGCAATTAAACTTTGCAATTTTACTCATCTTAAGATGCTCTTTTCAGCTACTGTATGGTAATGGATTTAGTTGTTCTTGTCTAGATCAAAATTTCGATCAAAATTCATATTTTGTTTTGAAAATTTTTTGTTCTCATAATTTCGTATCTGTTTTAGACCCAAAGACAGAAAACAACGGCCCGAAATACCAGTTTACAGAATGCTAAAAAGGTAAACATTTACGATGTGGTGAGTTTGGACGCTACACTTCACTTAGACTATATTAGCAACGACAAACATCAGCGTAATGCAGAAGTGATGTGCATCAGTGAGCTCCATGAAGTGAGGGCAAGATGGCGGAAATTGAAGAGCTATTGGACTCGCTTTTAAGAGTACCGGTAGTAATTTGTTGTAAACTGATTAAGATAGCGAATTCAAGTATAAATTTCAACAACACCAACAACTTGCACCTCTGTCATAGAATATTGCCTATTGATACAGTAATTCTTCAATTGTTAATCTTCACTAGCTTCTCGTGACTTCTTGCATTTAGTTGGCTCAGTTGTGTCAAAAGGAGATGAAAAGAGAAGCTTTGAGATCTCAAAAAGTTGGAGCACAAACAGTTCCCCGGGCTAGAAGACTTGCAAAGGAGGTGCAGTACAGTAACGATTACAGTACACTACCAGGGTGTTAGCTACAGTCAAAACGTTGGCGTTATACACCGTTTTCATAATTAAGGCTGATTTCCACTGTTGCGTTTTTCGTACGCACGTACACGCACGTAAAACTTTGAATCCTTCTATTTTTTTAAGTATTTTACAAATACGTTAACAAATGCATATTAAAACTTGCGGAACATTAAATTCTGTTGCTTTTTGATTTGGTTATTTCATAAGTAACATTTAAACGGATTTAAAGTTTTACGTGCGTATACGTACGTATGAAAAACGCAACAGTGGAAATCAGCCTTTAAGACCGTTTTCCACTCCAACCATATCGTACGGACAGAAACTACCGAAAATATCATTGTAAAGGCCCGTTTACACTTGCAATTTTTGCTGTGATTCTAGTGCGATTTTCTCCTTCTGATGGATGTGAACGAGTAGACGAGTTACGAATGTTCGGAGTATATGTACCCTCACCTGAATATTCATAACTTATCCACTCGTTCACATCCATCAGAAGAAAATCGCAGTAACCGCAAATCGCAGTAAACAGTCCTTTAAAAGTTGAAAATGTTCAATCGTGTGTCGGCCAATCACATTTCACAAAATTTTCTTTGTGCGGAAAATTTACCCGAGTGGAAATGGGCCTTACTAATAGCACAGAATAAGAAGGTACAGCAGAAGTGTAACTCAAGCAAGTATTTGTCCGCGTTTTTACAAGCGATTCATCATCAATCACGCCATCCTGGCTAGTACTGTACAACCGGCACTTTGTACCTACCAAAACCTGGTAAAAACTTCCGGTTCTACTAGCCAGGATGGCGTGAGCGAGTTAAAATTTTCGTGGACGTAAAACAATAAAGGAACCGACTCAAGTTACACTTCTGCTGTACCTTCTTATTCTTGTGCTAATAGCCTATAGAAATCACGTTCTTCTCTTTGTAGATGTTGGTTTATTGGAAGAAATATGAAAAAGTGGAGAAAGAGCACCGGAAGAAAGCTGAGAAGGAAGCGATTGAACAACGAAAAATAGATTTTGAAATGAATGAGGTAATTGAAAGAGTGATACTTCATGTATTTTTTCATTAAAGTGATCATTGCCACACCTTTATACTTATGTGTACAAAGTATTTGCGCACATTTTTTAACCCAATAATGTAACGCTCCTATGTGCATCATTACCACTGTATTTAGGCGAAAAGACAGCAAAGGAAACTGAACTTCTTAATAACGCAGACGGAACTGTACGCTCATTTCATGAGTAGAAAATTGAAAGGTAATCTCTCTTCTTTGAAACATATCGTTTGCAAACTTGAACCTAACTTCTCACGAGGTCCTTATTATTTGTCGCTCAAAGGGTGACTCGGTAATAGAGGTGTGCATGGGATCGGATTGCACGTTTATAATCCGATAATTGGCTAATGTTTAAAATCCGATCCGAGTTTTGATAAAGAATTCCGATCCGAAGAATCCTTTAATAAAATAAATTTCTCATTGAAGTTGAAATATTTAACCAAATAAATATAAAAGCAAGAAATACATGTCAAGAAGCTGACAAAGTGACGTCCAATTGAAGTATCAAACGAATAATGCAGCGATAACCGCGATAATGCTTTGACAAATGCATGGCTAATTAATCCTTGCGATAATGCGTGGATAATTGATATATTTTATTTCGAATATCGAAGTCCGATCCGACTACGAAACAACTTTAGCACTCCGATCCGAAATGTATATTTTTGTTCCGAAATCCGAACGAATACGATCGGATCGGATTTGCACACCTCTACTCGGTAATGACAGAAAATTCTTATACAGTAATATTTGACAATCTAAGGTCCAGGATCGTCTGATGCAGCTCAGGTTGATGGAATTCTTAAGAAACTCGAAGTGAGGTTGCCTGGATCTAAGTTGAAGAACATGGGGGGTGGTCTCGTCATCGATCTGGAACATAACGATGATTATGGTGAGTTCATGGACTCGAATAGACAATTCCCATTCTAGACTAATTTTAAAACAAGGCAAAGAGATGCAAAGAAATCACCAGTCACCACAGCTAGAAAGACCATTTTCGGCCCAGATGTGGTAGCAATTTCCTCACGCAATACAAAAGTATACAAAATGTGCAAACTTTGCAAGGCTATATTTTCCGCATTTTACAACATTTCGCGACCAAACTTTGCAATTTTACTCATTTTATATGTATGCTCTTTCTAGCTGTGGTGATTAATTTGCATGTCTCCTTGCCTAGTTTTAAAATTAGTCTATAGTGGAAATTGTCTATTGCACGGCTACTTGGCTCCATGTAAAAGAAATTACAACAAACATCATCCAAGTGTATCATGAATATAGTTTGGAAAGTTTGTCCTCAACAGAATTTTTTTTAAATTGTCAAAATAATTTAGTGTACTAAGAGATATCATTTTGGGGGTCACTGATGTGGTTTACGAATTAAATTACTTTAAAGCCAAAATATCCGCCATATTGAAACGCCATTGTTGCCATAGCAACGGAAGTTGCGTAACTTATGTGAACTCTTTATAATTATATTATTTTACATAAGTAGGATACTTCTTTGTTTTTGAACAAGTAATATACTTGTTCAAAATACGGATCTGAATCGCAAATTTTCCATTTTTATAAAACTGTGTACAAAGCCTAATACGTTTTCCATGTTTGTTTGACAGACAGTGAACAAATGAAAAACCAGGCATTACAAAATGCGAAACAAGCTTTCAACGCTCATGAAAACTGGGTAGGTTCAGTGTTCACTGAATCACAGAATAGGAAGGTATAGCAGAAGTGTAACTTGAGTCGGTTCCTTTATTGTTTTACGTCCAAGAAAATTTTAACTCGCTCACGCCATCCTGGCTAGTACAACCGGAAGTTTTTATCAGCTTTTGGTAGGTACAAAGTGCCGGTTGTACTAGCCAGGATGGCCTGATTGATGACGAATTGCTTGTAAAAACGCGGACAAATACTTGCTTGAGTTACACTTCTGCTATACCTTCTTATTCTGTGACTGAATACACGGAACATACACCACATAACCATGTTTAAATATTGAACAAAAATATAAAATATGGTTTCGTTGAATTAGACCAAGGCATTTGATGATGGTGAGAAGAAACAAAATAATCAACAAAACTGTAAGTACCATCAGACGTCAGAACGATCTTTTCGTTTCACACGTCCTATTTCTTGTACAGAATCGTCGTCGATGATTTTGTAGTCTAGAGTATGAGAATATTATTTTGTTGTTTAGTTGATCAAGCTTTTAGTCTTGCCAATCCATCAATCAAAGGACAAGATGTTCCGCAACCTATGATATTCGACGGTTTACTAAAGTCGTATCAACTTAAGGTAACGTGGACATGTATTTAGAAATGTGCATGGACCTACCCGCAGGGTGTGATCATTTCTATTGCCGCTTAAGCTGGAGTAATACGAGCAACAAAATTTTGCTGCAACTTGCAACAAAATCTGATTTCAACGCATGTTAATTGAAAATGTTCACACATACATTACAAATCACGAGTAATACGTATTTCATTGCTTAATACGTATTTCATTGGTTAATTGGGCAGAATAAACGCATCTGATTGGTTAAAATTAACGGTAATGGTATTGAAAGTTAAAATATGAAATTCCATTGGCCGTGAATATCCGTCTGGTTTATAACGAAGAATTGATTCTTTGAAAATAATTATCGACCTAATTTTGTATTTTAGGGTATGAATTGGCTTGTGAACTTGTACGAACAGGTATGTATAGTATACTAGGTATACATGATTGATTTGATGGATAAATAATGAGATTTAAAAGATGGGAAACTGGTCAAACTTTTCTCTCACGTGAAAACATAAAACATAATTAGAAATTACATGCTACAAGTATCGAATCTGGGTTATGGCCACAGAAGATGAAGACACTTCCTTTACCCTCTTCCTTGAAAATATATGTATGGCCTGTAATTGTATATTTTAATATATTGTTATTTACTTGTACAGGGTATTAATGGGATCTTAGCCGATGAGATGGGTTTGGGAAAAACAGTTCAGTCTATTGCATTTCTTTCATACTTAGCAGAGGTATGTTTTTACTAGTACTTATTATGATTAGGGCTTTGTGCAGTAGAACTGTTAGATTAGATATGTATGATCTTAATTAGATCAATGATTGAATTAATTAATTAATTTATGATCTTATTAGATTAATTCTTATGGTCTTAATTAGATCTGTATGTATATATACATATATGTATGTCTATATGTGTACTTATAAATTTGTCAATCGTACGTTTTGCCATTTTGGGATCAGTGTAAATTGGCCTGAAGCTGTTATGATTTCCTGTCACATTTGTGATGTTATATAATAACAGGGCACGCAATAACGGCCGATCAATGATCGGCAGGAAATTGCTTTTGATCGGCAGAGAAGCATGATTGTCGATCATCTTGATCGGCAAGAACCATTGATTCAAAAACACGGTTAATGTTGTTAACGAACACCATGCAGTACTACGGCATTATCACAGCACATATAAACACAACGTATCCTATACTGATCGGTCGGATTTTCATTTGATCAGCAGAAAATCATGACTGCTGATCACCATGATCGGGAACCTTGGAAACGTTATTTCGAGCCCTGTAATAATGTTATTTGTCATGTATTCTTGTTGTGACAAAGCTTGTAAAATGAAATTACAAGAACTAAAACAAATGGACGCTACCCCCAAGCATTTTCATAAGATCGAGAATATTTTTTATGTGATTTATTCATTTCAATATATTATTCAATAGGCTCATAATATCTGGGGTCCATTTCTTGTCGTTGCTCCTGCCTCGACTCTACATAACTGGCAACAGGAGGTGACGAGATTTGTACCCACGTTTAAGGTGAGTTTCGTGAATCAGCGATTAGATGAGGTGTCCCAAAAACTGCAAAAGCATGCTCCAGATTTTTACACACCTAATTTATTTTATATGCATCGTAAATTCAATCTTAGTGGTGAATTTTCACACCATCATTTTTGAAGTTTGTGTAGTAGAACCAATGGTATGACTGTTTAAAGTAAGGGATGATCACACCATACTGCATTGTTAACACAACAATGATCCATTGGGTGAACCGAACATTCGTACTTCTTGACCAATTTTAATATTCTTAGTATCAAAATTCATAAAGTTGTTATTAATAAAATTTATATACATGTACATTTACTATAAATATTTGACTGGCACCAAATAACCCATGATGGTCTGAAAGTCTTCGACAATATTCCTCGCACCCAGAACGCAGTTAAACGAGCTCGGTGTCATGACTAATGTAATGGCAACATGATTGTTTTTATATTCAGGTACTCCCGTATTGGGGGAATCAAAGTGACCGAAAGTCCTTACGGAAATATTGGAATAGGGTAATTTGATGTTAAGAACTTTGTTGTTTATTTTTTTAGTTTTTATGCACGATATATGAATTAAACCTAGCCTCCTCCGCAGGCATCACCTTTAGATTATCGGGCAAAATTTGTTTGCAGGCAAAAAAAAACCCGATTCTGTAAAGTACGTGAACCAGGAGATGCCTGCGGAGGTGGCTAAATTCAACCATTTGTAACATTAATTTTATTAACTTTATATTTATAGAAACAAAGTGACGTTCATGATAGAGAAAATGCCCCATTCCACGTTTTAATTACAAGTTATCAATTGGTACGTAGCTAAATAAAGTGCCGAACCTAGCCTGCATAACGATACATTTCGTCTTAGAATGACCCAAATATTACAGTCGCACTTACTCTGCAACAGGGCTGCAAATAAATATTTGACTTGACAGGACATTTGTCCGATCACTTTTAATTTTGGTTGGACATAACCTGAATTTGGTCGGACAAAAACCAACATCACTAAATTTGGTCGGACATAAAACGTCACAAGATATACCCGGTATATAAGTCATGAGCCAAGTATGTATGCCATTCCGGCACAACGTTAATTACAAGTAAATGCTAGAACGCCTCGTAAATTTTATTGCAAAATGCAAATTGAGTGAATTTGCAATCGGATTTTGTCACAACAAAAAAATGTATAATGTGACAATTTTTTATGTGATCGGACCAATGTCCGATCAAAATTACTTTTGCTCGGACATTTGCCAAATTTAGTCGGACATTGTCCGATGTCCGACAGTAATTTGTAGCCCTGCTGCAGGGTAGTAAGGTATTGCAAATCAAAGTTTATAATTACCCTTCGTTTCATATCCAGGTTGTTCAAGATGTGCGTTACTTCCAACGAGTCAGGTGGCAAAATCTGGTTTTGGACGAAGCTCAAGCAATCAAAAGTAGTTCCAGGTAGGAATTCTTCGAAGGAAAATTCTTCCTTGAACTTGAGTGTACTTAAAAAGCGGTTACAGTATCTCACCATTCATAGATAACGTTTTTATATAGCACTCGCTAAGTTTTCTATTTAATTTTTAAGCGTTCGTTGGAAAATTCTGCTTGGCTTCACTTGCCGAAATCGACTTCTTCTCACAGGGACACCCATACAGAACAGTATGGCTGAGGTTTGTTTCAGACAATTGCATTGGTTAGATCCATTAGGGGCCATTCACAAAGGATGTCCGAGCCGAGGGGGGGAGGGGGGTTTGGAGAATCAGGACAAACTCGGACATAGGGGGGAGGGGGGTTTAGCAATCCGGATGTCCGAAATTTAAAAAAATTCAAAAACAAATTTCTTTTTCCCTCTATTTTGAGCAGTCCTTCCCATTGTGAAATTGGCATTTTGACTATGCGGTTAACACTAGATTTTGTTTTAATTAGTAATTTATATGTTTTTGTGTTCACATTTACAGTTATAAAAAAGTTCTAAAAGTAAAAGTTTTTTACTCTTGATATATACAAGATTGCGTGAGTTTTTGCGAGGCATGGCGGATGTCCGGGGGGAGGGGTCACTAATTCGGACAATGCCGGACAAGGGGGGGGAGGGGGGGGGTCTGAAAATCCATCATTTGGCCGGACATCCTTTGTGAATGGCCCCTTA